GATGAGAAGATAAGTTTATTTTCTATTTAAACATAAAACACTATTTTAATAACAACTAAAGGTGACATAGATACTTTATTATGTTATAGTATTTAAATGTATGCCTGAGAAACACATAATATTCGCCCTTTAAAATAGTCATTGCAAAGATAAACAATATGTACAGTATCTTTAACTATATAAAATGTGCATTTTGAAAGAGTTTAATCCTGTGGTTTTTCCAGATATATCAATATGCAATTTTGAAATGCAGGTATACTCAACAAATATGCTATCACAATTGATGGACTGGACTTCATACACAAACAGCTCTTTCATGGACATCACAATTGTTGACTTATTTTCAGTCTCTTTGGCTGTTTCCGTAGGTCAACAAAAGCAGCCATTCACCAATTTTACTTACAAATTTTAATTTTAGGATAATTTAACCATCAATATGAGTCTATATGACATTGAAATTATTGCCTTAAAGTGGTGTGAAACAATGAAAAAGAAGGGGTTAAATAAAATACATCTCACAGGCAAGCAAACATGGACTACAAGCTTGTGTACCGTATTTAAAATGACCATACACTTATCTATCGTTTAAATGTATCCTTGGCTTGCCTTTACTGGAAGTGCTCTCTGTTTCTGGAAGAGGTTTCTTTTCATTACCATAAAATGAAATAAGAGTTCTCTTTACAAGGCGATATGACTTGGAGACTTCCATATTAAATTTAAATCCACCTGGTTGCGCTCCCTGGCAGACATTAGTTTAAGCATTTTCATCACAAACGTAAACTGAACCATCTTTCTGGGGTTTCCAACAGGTTTTTATTTATTACCACTGGTCTTTACTCTCAGCTGGTTCCAGACTTTAATATGCAGAGTCAATAATATGTTGCTTCCAACTCTAATGTTGTTAAGTTATTACGAGCCTCCAGTCATGTTAGTGTTTCTGCAGTTCATGGTATGGTCATAAAACAAGTGTTGCTTACCTACACATCAAATTCGCAGTTTTTCCAATAAAACATTTTGTACTTTTGCTCACAACTTGAAAGTTATAAAGATTTTAACTGAGTAGCCTGTAGCTCTCAGACAGAATAAGTCTCTGAGATTTAGGCTGAAGCTGAGCTCTTGTTTTCCTCTTTATTATATTTCCACACCGGTTCTTTTGAACAGATTCTTTCCTGGTCACGGATCAGTGAACCAGACAATCAAAGGGTCATTTGCTGTTTCACTCTGTGTTCATCTTGTGGAGCTGAAGGCAGAGTCTGAACCTCCGGTGGGTTCTAAATGAGGTGGGAGAATGAGATGACTGGGTACCTGTGTTTATTCAATGCAGCTTTTTGCTTCGAACAATAAAACCTTCAAACGTCTGTTTAAAACTATAACTCATCCGTGTTACTTCTGTTCGATGTTAATGTGCATCCTTGTTCTCCTAACAGCTGTGTCTCTAATGGAAGATCGCAGCTTCCTGTTGAATCGTTGCAGTTGCCTAAAACCMGCTGCATCACGTCTTGTGTTTCACTCGCCCTGTAGCTGCGCAACTGAGATACAAAGCCTCGTCTTATGCTTTGGGTTTTTTTTCCTCCTTTTAGTTTCTAATGAATGATTTCACATTAAGCTTCAAGCTGTCAAAGTGCAAAGCAATACCCAGCTGACAGCAAATCTGAGGAAAACACTGCTGCAAGTCTGCAGCTGATGGGTGCTCAAGTGATGATCACTAGACCGATTTTAATGACACTTTCAGAAAGTAATTATTGGATGAACATCTACAAATGATTAATTTGTGTGGTCAGTCTTATTTAAAATGGCCGCCACAGATAATCAACATTAACCAACAACAAAAAAAAAACTATTACTCAGTCATTTGGACAGATAATGAGCTAGAATTTGATGTGGTAGTAGCTGAGACTCATCCACAACACAGACTCTAACTGTGACATCTGAAATTTTAACATGAGATTATGCATAATGTTATTTTTTCCATTTTGACCAAAATAATTGGGTGCCAAGAGTAAAATAAAATGTTAGCAGCGGTTAGCCTTGACGTCCTTGCAGAATGATGACATCATACTGATTAGCTAACACTAATCACTGCTAATCGCTACTAACCCTATTAACCCTGCTAAAGATGGAATTTAAAATTTAAATTCAAAATGTGTTCATTGAAAATAATAGGGATGGTACTTGTAGTTGAGAGTTTGAAGTGCAGCTCAAACACTGGCCGCAACTACAAGTTTGATGCCTTAGAGGGAACCGTTAGCCATGTTAGCAGCGTTAGCAGTTGCTTTTGTCTCAGGATGATGATGATGTCCTAACARGAGCCGAACACCAACAGCAAAGGCTGTGTTATGGACTAATTATTTATATCTGTTTCACCTTGACGCTGTCCAGTACTCATATATCTTATGATAACYTCTTTCGGCTGTTAATCTGTTTGCCCCAGACGTCAGGACTCCAGAAACGGATGAACTCTCTTATTTTGATAAGGTAGCTCTTTGGGCTGAGAGCCCTGGTATTGGTTAGGCAGTTACATTTGTCGGACTGTGATTTGTTGTAAACTGTCACGTGATGTTATCATGATGTTATATTATTGGCTTGCTGTCTGCTGACGAGTCAGCCACAACCCGACAGACTTCCTGATTGACTTCTGTTTGTTGTTGCTCAAGATTAAATCATTCAACGACCATACACGCAGACTTTCTGTGCATTTATTCCAACGTGTTTCTGCATTCTTGGTAAACCTTGCCACGACAGATTTTTGGCGTTGTCGGCAGGATAAGCCAGTTTGGCGTTGTTGGCAGAGACCACTAGGAGATCGACGGACCAAGGCCACATTGCAGGYGGACTGATATGAGTGRGCAAGGACTGGACTGCTCAGGACCRTAACTCCAGCTGGATGAAAAGAACCTTTTTATGGTAAATTGTTTTAACAACAGAGATACGCTGGTGATGATTGTGATGGATGATCTTGAATATTGTAAAATACTTAAATGTAAACTTCAACATTTAACTACAACATTTAAGATTTAACTTTTACATTTAGGATTTATATACTGTATATAATATATATCCATCTATCCATCCATTATCTATACCCGTTTCTTCCTTTCAGGGTCACGAAGGTCACTGGTGCCCATATCCAGCAGTCGCAGTGCGAGGGGCAGGGTACACCCTGGACAGGTCACAAGTCCGTCACAGATKTATAAATATTATTTAGCATTTAGTAAAAATTAGCTGTAAGAACAGTGAGCTAATTAACAATAAAATTTTATTGGATACCTTTTTACTAGGATTTTACACTCAGTAAGTGACCTAAATAATGAAAATGTGTTAGTGACTTTTTTTGGACATTTTATTATACACTTGGCGCCCCATGCGAAATTGCTACATTTCTCAACACAAGATAAATTCAGTGAAGGGATTGTGCATTCCATGCTGCACCTTAAATAACTTATAAATGCATCTCCTGTCCTCGCCTCACATATTACGCAGAATATTCACCTGATGAGGTCTCCGTGCAGCTGAACGTAGAGCCCCTGCTCATGCCTCTGAGTGCAGAGCTCCTCCACCGTGGTCCTGGTGGAGCAGAGCACCAGCTGCAGGTCTGTCTGAGGCGTTGAGGAGGTTTGTGCGCCCGAGGCAGAGGGCTGAAGGTCCACCGTTCCACCGTACAGGCACACGCAGCCCCGCTGGGTGTCCCCCTTAAGCCAGTCCCGCTCTCGTGATCCAAATCGGGTCTTTCTCATCACACAGCTTCTACTCCCATTTCTCTTCATGTTGCGCTGCAGACAAAAAAAATAATAAATCTTTTCAGCACATATTTAGGGGCACCTAAATACTGCAGATATCAAAAGCAATGACAGTTGGCAATATAGACGGTCAGTTCATTTTAACTAAATGTTGTTACAGAACTTTTTATATTTAATCAAGAAAACAAAGACAAAACATGATAAGGAAAATGACTGATTTGTGATGCTGTGTGCTCTTATTAAGGTTAATCACACTTATTGTTGCAAACACTTAAGTATAATTTAAATAATTGGAAATAATTTTAATTAATATCAGAACACAAAAAGCTAATCAGCTGTAATGAAATATTAGCCGTCACTTGATTGAGATTTAATGATTATTGTCTAATCAAGTCTGAGGGGAAAACAGCTCATTTGCTTCCTGGAGATTAGGTGTCCTCTGATAATTTTTAACTTGGTTTTTTTTTCACATGTAGTTACATAAGAAAATTAAATGATGATTTTTATCCCTAAGAACAAGTCTCAGCATTTAAACACAGTAGATCCTGTGGGGAGCAACAGGGTTCTTCAGGTAGAAACACAAGGAAACAATCAGAAAGTGAATTTAAATCTTAAACTTGATTAAAATAAACTGTGTAGCCACAAAGTTTTTGCTGATCTTAGCCTCCATGAAGCACTAAACTTCAGCTTGTTGATCTGAGATCTTTTAGACTTCGGCCTCAAACTATAAACTCTTCACCTGAACTTTGTTTAACCGACACTTGGAGAAAGAGAATCATTTTCAGTATCTTTTAAATCCAACTCTGTGGTGTTTAAAACATATAATCCATATTTTTTTGTTTTAGCAGAACACTAAATAAAAGGGGAAATGTCTCTGATTGTTGCAGTTTTGGAGAAGAATTTGTGTCACTTTATTTCTGCAGCTCAACACTCTTTATTGTATTTAAATGTCCTTTTTATTACGCGCCACACATTTTGAGCTCTGGTTCTGATAAAGCTCTGGATGACCTTTCCTACCTTTGGCACAGGGATCCTGACCACAATTTTCCCAAAAAGAAAGCTGAAACTTGGACTCACCTACCACAGATCACGTTTCTAGTTTTATTTTATTTTTTTTTTCTGTTCATCTGTTTTCAACTCATACCCAGAGAACGAAATGTTCCTGCCTCCTTCCTTCATGTGTCATAAAGTTTAGATGCCGTGCTGACTGTTGGGTTGTAGCTATAGTTTCCCTCGGACTCCCTGAAAGTGTCTGCAATAGGGCTGCAYGATATATCGCAAACTGTGCAATAGGCGTACACAAAAAAACTGCATTAAATGGTTGGGACAAATGTTTGCATTTRTGCATTTTGTCAGCATCAGCCTGATAAATAAAATGAACCCACGATACTACATCAAATAACCACTTGGTCAGAGGAGCAATGAGAGAATTTGCATTTGGATTTAAGTTTGTTAACTTTTATTTGCACTTAACTTTTATAATTTATTTTCAAAACCTGATRGAGTGGTTTTCAGTACATAGAGCATCAGAAAATGTTTTATGGGGGCGATGCTTTAAAGTCATTAAGAAACTGTTTTGCATGCAGTTGGTKGTTTCACTGCTAATACAGCAGCTGTAGTTGCACTTTTTTTGAAATAAACTGTCATGTTGGAAAAGAAATGATATATCAGTTGTTGTTGTTGATGATGTTTTTTTTTCTCTGAACCCACAACAGAAAGTCATCAACACTGCATACTTGAGTATTTGCTCATTTATCACAAGTCATCRCAATATTAAGCATCACARGTTTTCCTGATATCGTGCAGCCCTACTGCAATAAAATGAACAGTAAATGCTGGGGGAAACTGTCATTTTGTACAAGCTATTTTATCATAGTTTGACACTAAGTTGTGAAACTCAACCCATCCTTGTTTTTTAAAAAAAAGAGTATATGCCCAAGCCAGACAGCCTCACCTAAAAAAACTGCTGATTGTCAAAGCTTCCAGACTAATTTCACTTGTTGTATTTTTCAAACTTTGTCTTTTTTCTCTCACAACTTTAGAGCACGGATCTGCAGCTTTTACATTTACAAAAGYCTGTTTTATAATCTATACCATTCAAGCCACAAAACATACTTKACTCTTAAAAACAAGCAGGATAAACTTTAATTTACATATTATGTATTACAAACAACTTATGTTGCACTGTACTGTGTGC